CCAATTGACAAGACAAATTATTCTTCTCTACTCTATTATTACAATACAATCCGCGAGTACAACACTTTAAAAGTCGCCATTATACAGTTTAGGTCTATTTGATTGTATCTCTCACTAACTTTGTCTTATTTTCACTTACACTAACTTATATATACATTGCTAAACTGAGGCCTATAACTTTCTACAAACTATGAGACGTTATGATGTAACAATACTCACTTAAAGCAACGAGAAAAATTCAGAAGGTTCAAGTAACGTGACGTCAACTCACAGCGACTGAACTACACAACAAATGATTCGTAAACAATTACGTAAGCAAACCTGCGATAAATTATCGCTTCTAAAAATACTAAATTTGACACTCGCACTTTATAATTATCTAAATCGTAACTCTCGTATTAAATTAAAATGAAACAGTCCTGTATATCTAACATGGACTATGACCCAACTTAGAAGCGATTAGTTTTTGGAGTGTCAAGGTCACGAAAATCCAAATATTCCCTATCTGTTAATATAAGAAGCGATTTTCCATACTATTTTTGCTCTATAACTCAGAGAAAAATGAATTAACATATGTAAAATATTATACATCATTGTCCTGCCACAAATGATCCATATTCCTTGATAACGACGGACATACGGACACATTTTCGTATTATTTGAGACCGAATATGATCAACGCTGCGAAATGGAGGTATTCGCTCTGCTTGTGTCCTCTAGTTACAAACAACATATTATATTATCTAGACTTATCAATTAAACAGTGATCATGCTTAATAAAGTGCATACATATATCTTACATTAAATACAGTTTATCACACACCAACTTTGATAGGGTTTAATCTGTCACACATGTGTTACAGTAAGTTTCTGGTTTTCGTACATTAAAGTCGATAAAATTCATTTAACAGATACGTAATATATCTAAAATGAATACCTACAAGTGGAAAGTCTTGTCACATATCTTGGTCGATATGATGCTACATCCATAGGCCGAACAGCAAGTCAACTTGATCAAATTAATACAGAATCATAGTCATATAATAACAATAATATTATAGTGGAATAGGCTTTGTATGGGTGTGGTAAAATGGCCGTTGGCAGTCTTCCAGTGACTTTAATTCCTACAATATTCTGCTATTGGAGTGCGCTATCCATATATATATACTAGCTGAGTTACCCGTCGTTGCAAGGTGAAAATTTAGATTTGAAATGTATAGATCAGTATTTTTTTAAGCAAGTTATTCAGTAAGTAGACAAAAGCTGTGATGCGAGGAATAAAAAAAAAACATTTAATCAAACAAAGTTTTATTTGAAATTAGATCGTGTTTGAGTTTGTCTTGTTATTTGAGCCTGAAGTCGTACATCTTGATGCTCTTCTGTTTCTTTCTCTCTGTTAGTTATTTGTCTTAATTTTTGTGCTTGAAGTCTGGTTTGACGTTGTTCAGAAGTTTCTTGTTGTCTATATCCAGCTCGCCTTGATGATTCTGACTGAACTCTGGCTTTGTGCTGTTCAACAGTTTCTTGCTGTCTTTGAGTAGCCTGCCTTTCAGCTTGAGCTTGAAGTCTAACTTTACGTTGTTCCAAAGTATTTTCCTGTATTTGAGCAGCCTGTCTTGCAGCTTGTGCTTGAAGTCTTTGATTGCGTTCTTCTTCTGTTTCAGCTGCTCTTTGTACTTGCATTCTTTTAGCGGCAGAAGACTTTCCATAGAAAGGGCGTTTCTTGGATGGCATAATCACCTGTATCACTAAACAATAATTTGGAATTCACAAAGTTACTAAATCACTTATGAAACCACTTAGCACTATTTAAAGAAAACTGTTTTTGGAAATACTGAATTGAAAGCAAGGTGATCTGAGTGTCTCCCGCCATAACGCTTTCTATGTGCAAAACGTGCTTATGTTTGTATGTTTATTACAAAAAATGGTGCAATAATCATTAATTGTCAATTCCGGCAATAGATACTACACCAAATAGAAAATAAATAGCACCATTAAATTTCTTGTAAAAAACTGGTTATTATGAAGTTATTTTAAAGTTTGTAAGTTCAACCGTTTGGTTTCCTATAGCGAACAAAATAAACAAACTTCCTCTTTTTTATATATACATATATAGACCAGTGGCTCAAACCCAGCGGCGATTAAGCTTTTTGAACAAATTGACGACTTATTATCAGAAACAGATATAAATCTACTTCGTGAAGAGTCTCAGGAAAAATCCTATCTGAAATAGCATTTGAGAGAAGATAACTATATCAGCGAGATTGTTAAAGTTAAAAAACGATAGAGATACTAACCATAACGTTCAAGCTCTAGTAGGAATGTGTAAGGTTTATAAACGTCACACACGGCTACTTTACACAGCATACAGTACACCCCCAGTGTTTATGACAGATGTTCCCAACAATTGGTTTTTTTATCTTTATTTGTGGATCTCAAGAAGGCCTTTCCCTGCTGTGGACTGACAAGCAGCTAGAGACTCTCGAGCCAGGTGGCAGGTGTCTCTACTGAGGTCAAAGTAGAACACTTCACACTGTTCACACATTACTGTCGCCTCCTTGGGTTCGTCTTTACACAAGTGACAGTGGATTGGTAACTGCTTGCTCTCTGTACTTGTCTTGTTCTTCGACAGGTTTTTGGCTTGGTAATAATCGAATTAGACCACTTACTGGCAGCCCAGAGGGAGGCAAAGCAGTGTATGAAAGCGCTTTTACAGTCATTGATTGTGAGATGTAAAATTTAAAAAAAATGTTTTGGACTGTTTAACTAGAACTTGTTAGTTGGGTCTGTTATAAATTGTATGACTCTGTGACGATAGCATAACAAATGTTGACGTTTCATGGGTTTTCTTCCTCCCCAAAAAATGTTTCTTTTTTGACATAGCAATTTGAGTTGTTTTCCTAATGGTCTAGACATTTGCAAACAAGAAAAAATAATCTTTATATATAAGAACCTTCATTTCCTCAACATCTGTGTTTAGTAATATTACGCTGAAACAAAGTGCTTGTAGCAGGAGTCATGTTTTCAAAATCGGGTTTTTGAAAATGTTTTCAAGGAAGAAAACGTGATATGATGAAATGCGTTGAATAAGGACAACACGTGAATATAACTTTACTATATCTCTCATGTACTTCTGGCGTTCGTCGTCAAATTCCTCGTCCTTTGCACAACTTAGTTAGCGGTCTTTTGAAATAAAGGTATAATGGACACTTGAAACATTATATCACGATTTCAAGTTCGATGATGACAAAACCTTGTCGAAACGTTGTACATTTGCTGTTATGTTAAACTTATATTAAAGTCTTTCTTCATTACCCATTCAAGCCGTCTCCAGCCATTATTATATCACGATACTTTAAGGAATTGTATAACAAACTGTAATTTGATCGATATTTATATACATCCACTAATATTGTGTAGCTCTAAATAAGTAAACTCGTATTTACATTTCAACAATATCACAATAATTATAGATCATTTTAAACTTCCCAAGTAAATATTCTACAGGGAATGGATTAATGGTACCTAGCTTTCAATAACAACAATAAAAAAAATACTTATTCTAAATAAAGGGTTTTTTAATTTTGATAAATTGAACATATATTTTCAGGTTTATTTTTATTTTTACCTTATGATTATTCCCATTTAGTACGAGTATACTGTCTGTAAGCGTATAAAGTAGAGGACATCTATCAGAGGGCAGGCAGTGTAATGGTCCTTGATTTTTCCTGTTTACTTCTCTGCCACCTGGTTGTATTTCACGGAGCGCTTTTCCAGGAAACGAAACACAAAGCTTGAAGCAGATGACTACAAGTAGCATAATAAGATGTGTTCTCAAATAAAGAGAAGCAAAAGGATTCTTCGAAAAGCATTTTATGGGTTAGTAGTCGGATTCTATATTTATATTCACACATTGTCTACGACTGTAATGAATGTCAGTTCTCCAAGATGGATCCTTAAGTACTCATGTATCGTCTACGACTGTAAAAAACTCGCAATTATATATAAAGTTAATGTTTGGATGCTTATGATGTTTTTTACAGTTATAACTGATCAACTAACAGTTTTCTAAGATAAAACTCTAGGTATATATGTATTGTCCAGGGCTGTAATTAACTCACAAGTCTCCAACCTTACCTTCAAGTGTATGTATTTTATACAGCTGTAAACATGAATCTTTAAGTATATATATATTGTCCGCGGCTGTAATCAACTCCCTAAGATCAGTATTTAAGAGCATATGTATTGTCTACGACTGTAATAAACTTACCAAAATGAATGTTTAAGTACATATTTATTGTCTGCGACTGTAATAAAATCACCAAAATAAATGTTTAAGTACATATTTATTGTCTACGACTGTAATCAATTCCCCAAGATGAATATTTAAGTACATATGTATTGTCCACGGCTGTAATCAATTCCCCAAGATGAATAGTTAAGTACATATGTATTGTCCACGGCTGTAATCAATTCCCCAAGATGAATATTTAAGTACATATGTATTGTCCACGGCTGTAATAAACTCACCAAAATGAATGTTTAAGTACATATTTATTATCTACGACTGTAATCAATTCCCCAAAATGAATATTTAAGTATATATATATTATCCGCGGCTGTAATAAATTCCCCCAAGATGAATATTTAAGTACATATGTATTGTCCACGGCTGTAATCAATTCCCCAAAATGAATATTTAAGTACATATATATATTATCCGCGGCTGTAACAAATTCCCCAAAATGATTATTTAAGTATATATATATATTATCTGCGGCTGTAATCAATTCCCCAAAATGATTATTTAAGTATATATATATATTATCCGCGGCTGAATATTTAAGTACATATGTATTGTCCACGGCTGTAATCAATTCCCCAAAATGAATATTTAAGTACATATATATATTATCCGCGGCTGCAATCAATTCCCCAAGATGAATGTTTAAGTACATATGTATTGTCCACTATTGTAATCAACTCACAATTCTCCAAGATGAATCTTCCAGAACGTCCAATTTATTTACATATCTTCAGACTTCTTACAGTTAAAATACAGAGAACTAACAGATAGGATATTTTCATAAATAAACATACTACAAACAGGTAGATTCATACAATACAAACAATTGACTTTGAACGTTCAAATCGAGATTATAAATAATAACATCATCATGAGGAAAAAGAGTCTTACCTTTTTTCAATTTTTTGGAAGTTGTTGGAGATAACAGAAACATTCACAGTATCGTCTTGTAGAAGTGATAATTTAATCCGTTTATTTTTTGCTAACTTTTTGCAAACACTCTCTCTTAAGTCATCTTGATGTAACTAAAACAAACCCAAGAGAATTACAATAGAAATAAGCTAAAATTGTTTTTAATAACTTCCATAACATTTATAAAGAAAATAAAAGATATGTGCGATTTTGAGAAACTTGATCACGGACGATTGGTTTATGGTGGAAGATTACTATAGTTTTTCTTCAAGTACGTTGATAACAGAATGAGAAACAAATTATTAGCGTATATAAAAAAAATTAAGTGACTATATCTAGTTCATATTAAACACAAATATTAAAATGTTTTAGTTTATTAGGAACATATAACGAGGCAATGTGAATTTTACCATTTAATACTGTAAATAATGAGGTATATTAACTATTAGATGTAACTCTCACAGGAGCTGATATTAGATAGTGTAAAGAACGGGATTCGTTGAACTCTATTTGAAGATGAATGTTTCGCTGAATGAGGTTGATGGATGCTGATTTCTAAATCTAGATATTTGGATGAGAGTTGTCTAACCACTGATAGTTGGATTTCTCAGCAAGGATTTTAGGTTGATGTGAATTTATTCACTGATAAAATGGGAATAACTCTTTCTTATTGGATGGATTGAGTTTCTTTAAGATGAGGGGTTGGATGTGTTGATGAAATATCCTAAGAGGAAGAATCGAATGTGTTGATGAAATACCCTAAGAGGAAGAGTCGAATGTGTTGATGAAATACCCTAAGAGGAAGAGTCGAATGTGTTGATGAAGTACCCTAAGACGGAGAGTCGAATGTGTTGATGAAATATTCTAAGACGGAGAATTGAATGTGTTGATGAAATATTCTAAGACGGAGAGTCGAATGTGTTGATGAAATATCCTAAGAGGAAGAGTCGAATGTGTTGATGAAATATCCTAAGACGGAGAATTGAATGTGTTGATGAAATATCCTAAGACGGAGAATTGAATGTGTTGATGAATTATCCTAAGACGGAGAGTCGAATGTGTTGATGAAATATCCTAAGACGGAGAGTCGAATGTGTTAATGAAATATTCTAAGGAATGAGAGATGAAAGGGATAATAAAAACCTATGAGACGAAGGGTAGGATGGGATTCTTTTTTATTTGCATAGACTGAGTTTCTCTATGGATGGTGACCTTTATGAGTTGATATTCTACCTTATTTTAACGGATTGAGATATTGTTAGGTAGAAGGTTAGACGTTTAATAATGACGTTATCTTAATCTAGGGAGTAGGGTAGAATGATAAAAATATTTAAAGTGGTAAACATACTGATTGATGTTCTCTAAATATGGACAACTCGATTGGTTGAGATACTTGAAATGCCTGGGTTTATTATTTTAATTATGTTAGGTTATAAAACAATAAACGTTAAATTACATCAATTTCAAAGCATGATATACTTTTGACGGTAAAAGTATACACTATAACAGTACACAACAGAGACGTGCTGCTAATGATGGCTTTGAATTTTTGTTAATATTTCTTTGTATTAGCTTAACTATTCTGACTGACCACGAGCACAAAACTGTGGAGTACACATTACGTGAAACTGACTTGAATCATTTGATCTCAATTTTTGTTAAATAAAAATCATTTTACAGGATCAATAAAACAATACCCACCACTATTAGGAGGCTGTGCCTTAAGCAGATCCTTCTTGAGGATAATTTAACAAACGAAACTAAGTGACAATGAAAGTAGCAATGTTTTTCAAATTAAATTATCAAATTCTTAGTTGAAGCTCTTTTTCAACATAAGCATTCCTTCAGACTCAGCGAGCAACAACTTTGTTGGTATTGTGAAAAATCATATGGCAACTAATGTTTATATATTTAAATATCTGATATGACAAATAACACAGGCCTGCGAT